TTTTGTGCACCTTTGCAATCGTTCTAAATCTCTCTTTTCTCATTTTTTATTTTTTGGTCACTTGTGTTTCTTTTTTGTGGCTCCACAATTACGCGAGCTACCACGTGCCATCTCTGTTCACTATCATTCAGTCTCGCTCGCGCTCACGAGATTGAAGCGAGGCAGCTGGATGAAACATGAACTAAGGACACACCCGTGAAAACATGAGGGGACGCTGGCTGATCGTATCGGCCTCTGGCTCAGGATGTTCATTAAAATGATAACAGGAAAGTGTGAACAATACGTTCCTGCTGCTGTAAGCATTTCCACACCAGCACTCGGTGCTGGAAAATCTCTTCAAGCACGCAAAAACTGTCACCCTGCAGAGCTTTGTGGGGTTGGACAGTATGCAGACTAAGTAGACTTTAAAAAAAAATAAGCAGAGACATGAAGAAATTCATGTTTTTCGAAACTGTCGACAGGCTCTTTGAGCCTCTAACACTATTTCACTGCAGTTTGAGACATTTCACATAAATAGCACATTTCCAGACATCTCTAGAAATGTATTTGAGTTAACATCACTTTTAAATAAACCTCATCAGCTGCATTTTTGGTTAGCCTCACTTACCAGCGAGAACAGTCGAGGCCCATTCCTCACAGGCTGTTGTGCTGCCAGTGTAAATCAAACCTGCACTGAGCACAAGGCTCAGCTGCCAACACGTTTACAGCTTTCAAAGCCTTTAAAATGTTTTGCTTGACAGTTAAGTAGACACATGGAGTTAGGGGGTCTCTCTCTGAAATTGTGTGTGCGGGTGTCCACGTTTAGCTGAAATCAATACAGTTATGCACCGAGCTTGAGGCCCTCGAGGGGCAACGGCAGGGTGTGTGTGTGTGGGGGGCTGGTTAAAAGTAATAAGACACAGCGTAAAATTTGTGTGAGTGACTCCCTTTGTTGTGGGGATGCATGCAAATTCGTGTGGAGTGTTTGGAGAGAAGCGCATTTTGTTGATAACATTAATGGTTTCCTTCAGATGTCTTGTGTCACACCGGAGCTGTCTCTCAGCTACATTTCCCCTAAGCAGCTGGGAATGTGATACAACAAGGAAATTACTCATCTAGGAGGAACTTGCTGGCTTGTTTTCTAACTATTCTGGTCCCAGCATTCTGGCAGGGTTGTTATCCCCTCACAAACAAAAAAGAAAAAAAAAGAAAGAAAAGAAAGAGGCCGTGTTCATTCTGCTTCCATTTTGAGCCTTGAATGAAGCTAATGTTTTCTTTGGAGGGCTGTTGGGGCGTAAATAGAAGCTTTTTCTAAATAAATTCCAGCCTGCGGAGGAACTGATTTTTGATTTTCAAATAAAAGCAGTGACAATATGGGAAATTCACCCCAAGTTACAGCGTGCACATGCAGTCTTAATAGTGTTTTAAGAACTTAAAGATGACCAATTACTCCTAATGTCTCAGGTGCTTATTCAATTACATGAAAGCTAATGATATTAAAGAAGCTGTACGTACAGCGGCATTGAATGCTGCATGTTTTCTTGCAGTGGTAGGACCTGTGGAGGAGGCCCATGCAAGGTGTTGCTCTTGTGTCTCAATAGGTGCAAATGACTTTGTGTTGACAGTGTTCAGAAAACAGCAGGTAGGGTTTTTTTTTTTCTTTTCACGTGTGCCACGTCAGCATTAACGCCTTTCATCAGTGGCAGTCCGTCATCTTGTAGAATTCTTTGTGTTCAAAATGAGATGTTTACCTGGCGGGGCGTGCCATATCAAGTGCAGCATAATGAGGAACTGTTGTTCGAGGGCTATTTGAAGTAGTGTTTACTTTATCCGGAACGTAGTGCGTTTTGACAGCCAATATGCACCAGAGGTAAAGCGTGATTTGCGATTCTCACGTCTTACAAATCTCCCTTGGAACCACCGACTCGGGATTTGTGCTCTGTTTAGGTCACAGTGGTTCTTAACCTGGGTTCGATCGAACCCTAGGGGTTCGGTGAGTCGGTCTCAGGGGTTCGGCAGAGCCTCCACCGTGACATGCACGGCTCATTTTGTGCACCAATAAAAAAAACATATCTATGTCTTGAATTTGAAAAAAATCATATTTCATTTTTCACTAAAGAGGGGTTCAGTGAATGCGCATATGAAACTGGTGGGGTTCGGTACCTCCAACAAGGTTAAGAACCACTGGTTTAGGATCTTAAAAATAAAACCGGCTGCACTCTTTCACAGGTCTTTCCAGCAGCCTTTCCATTCTGCTTCATCAGACACAGGCGGACGTGCATCACCATCATTGTCGTCGCCAGGAAAGATGTTCTTTGTGGCAGGGGCCAGAAATACAGCAGGATCGGGAAGAGGAAATGAAAGGAGGTAACAGATTCTCATCATTTCAGGCTTGAAAAAGTATGAAATGTCAAGAGGACTTCGATTGCCAAAAGTATTTCAGCTACAGCTTTAAAAAAAAAACTTAACTCCTTCTAATTTTCCATCATCAGGACAATTTACCAGAAATTTCGAGAGGTAGATATATTGGACAAGAAGAAGACGGTGACCGCTCTGAAGCCCGGAGAAGATCGGGCTATTCTTCTGGGACTTGGGATGATCCTCTCTTCAGTCATGATGTACTTTGTCCTGGGTATCACCATATTGCGGTCCTATGCAGACAGGTAGAGGCCTGCTAGTGTTTGGAGGAGGCGGCTCTGATATTTCTTTCAGAAACATGTTTTATTCATCAGATGTGCTTGTTGGCAAACTGTTTCTTTGCTCGTTCAAGCGGGAAAAATGCAAAAATGAATACTTTATGAAACCAGATCTCCAGGATCAGATTACACTTTCCAAACTGAGCTCGTTTCATGGCATAACATCCCGAATGCTGTCTTTCTTTCCTCTTCTTCTCTTTTGTTGTCGTAATAAATTGGATCTTCCTTTAAATGTCAACACAGCGTGTGGACGGAGGAGGGTGTGTGTATTGTTCTCAACTCCACGGTCACAGCAGACATGAACTGTTCCTACAGCTGTGGGTCAGACTGCTGGAGGATATCCAGATACCCTTGCCTGCAGGTCTATGTGAGCGTCAATAACACAGGCCGTGTCAGCCGTTTATCTCACAATGAAGAGACCCGTGATGCCAGCTCTGAAGTGAGTACGGTGCCAGAGAGAAAATACTGGGAATTACTGAACTGTTTCAAATGTTGACAATGGCTGTCAGATGTTGGCCCGGCGATAGATGCCCAATTCAGAAATGTCAGATAGCGTGTTGTGAAATAAAACAAAAGTAGCTCTGAGTGCCAAAAAACAAAAAAGTATGACTGGCTGATTGCCCTCTGGATGACCTCTGTGTCCCTCACTCCTGTCCTTGCAGTGTTTCTATGTGCCCAGGTGTCAGAAGGACAGCACAGCCATGCACGCCATGATTTTGAACATTTCTGAGCGACTGAAGGCGAACCAGCAGGTCCCGTGTTACTACGACCCCAGCGAGCAGCAGGAGATGACTCTCTTGATTCGCCTGTACGATCACAGCGCCGTCTTCCACTCACTGCTCTGGCCGTCTTGCACGCTCGCAGGAGGGGCCCTAATCATCATGATGGTGAAGCTAACGCAGTACCTCTCCAGACTGTGTGAAGAGATAGGGAAGCTCAAGACATGAAAAAATCAAAATAAACCAAGAAATTGATGGTTTGTGAGGGACGCACGACATAAAGGAATTGCTGGGAACCAAATGAATGTTTTGTTGCATCTCGCAAACCGTTCTCTTCAGCTGAGACATTCAGAGCAGCTGATTTTCACCTCAGAGCAAGTGTATAAATGTGAATGAACTGTCAGCTGTATAAAGATCTGAGCGCGGTTGGGAAGATGTTAAAGCATGGTAAAAATGTCTGAGAGTGCTTGTTTACAAGTGTTACATACCCGACGAAAACGAATCAATATTTGAACCGATGGAGAAAAACATCGCTGTCTGAGCAGAAGTGTCTGTGGCTGATGATGTCGAACAATGTGACAATGATAGGAAAGCATTTTGATAAACATGTGCCGCTTCTTCTTTTGTTCATCGGTTGTCCAGTTTCTTCAGATTTTTTAAGGCTACACTCCACAGCATGCCATGATAAGTGAAGTTTTCAGCTAATAGTTTTTTTGTTGGTTGTATTGTTTTACGCCTGTCAAACTGTGTTTGGCAACTAAAGAAATGGGAGCAAATTGTGTGTTTTTGTGACAGACTGCTAGTAACAACATGGCAGCGCTGCCAGGTTGTCTGTTCTGTGGTGAATGATTCATAGATGTTATGTGGCTTAACAAACAAATAGAACATTGTTTTGAAAATGTTCATGTACAAGGACTGGACTGAAAATGAGTGAAAAATCAGAGACATCATGACACAGCGTACATGTGCACTGACTCAGCCTACCAGACTAAATAAATTGATTTCGTATTCCAGGATCACAATTTTTATTGATTACATCTCTATAACAATTTTCTATTTGAAATTACATCTTACATTGTGAAAGTTCGCTGGCTGTGTCTGGCTTGTAACTGTAACAAATGATCAATCCCTCAGCATTTACAAGGTAGAAAACAAATACAGATGCACCTCTGCTAAATGTTCACAGCTTTTTTATAATGAAAGAGAACCTGATTTTTAAAACCTGCATCACAAACACAGGCGGCTGCCTGACTGCATATCCATATGCTTGAATATGGCTTCTTCAATTATCAATTTTTCAAAGTTTTAAGCTGCTCACACTCTAATCACTCAGTAATGTTGACCATTTAATCTATTCCTTTGCTTATTGAATATAGACTGTTTGTTTTACAGATACTCGAGAAATGTGTGGAAATATAATGCCCTGAGTGTACATATATAATTAAATAAAATAGTGCTGCAATCGTATTTTGTAGGCTTGTTCACTTCACGTTTCTATAAAGGGTTTGGACTCTGCATGTGCAATCTGATAGCTTTTCTTTGGAGACATTACATTTCAAGAAAACAGCGAGCAGGCAGTTTCCCGTCAATTCCCCAGTCTTATCTCATGACAAACTCCTCCACCAGCTCGGTCAGTGTGGGAAGGCGGTCCGAGACGATGAGCCTGTTAGCATCCCTCGAACAGGCTAGCTGTGTGGAGCTAGCGTGTTACCAAGCAGTGCAGTATATTTTCGGGACGGCACGATGACGAACAACAAGAAGTGTTATAGACTTACTCCACTACAGAATATTGACAACCTCGGTGGGAGCTAGGGACGTGTTTCCTTCTGAAAAGCGGCACTGTCCCGACCACCCCGTGTCACTCTTCGGATGGACTAAAGTAGCGCGGCTGCTTGGGAGTTCTGGAGCGGATGGGATTTACTCAGCTAGCCGCGGCTAATGATTGAGCAGTCCGACTAGCTTTACGGCTAACCGGTTGCCGTTAGCTGACACAGGTAAACCTAACATGTTAATTTTGTTGTTGTTTTGTTTTTTTGCAGTGTGTTTAGTTTTGCTGTTGATCGATAAAGCTATCCAGTTACTCACACAACACTGTTCACTCTTACCCTTTAATTACATTAGGGCCAGCGTGAAAATAGCGTGTGCATGAGGAGAGGTCTTCATACTGTATATGACATTGATCTTCTTGGTGAACTTGGCTAGCGTGGCTAGCTAGCTCATCAAAGAAACATTATCTAAAGTTAAACCACCAGACAGCAGTACACATCCAACCAGTCAATGTGTATGTCAAGCTCAAGGCTTAGCTGTGTTAGCCGTGATAAACCAATATACGGGGAAATTTGCTAGCTAACAAGTTTGTTTACATGATTCTCAAAGACCTTTTGAGTCCACAGCCCTGCATCAGTTCATTTCTGTCCACTTTAACTTGAGCTAATTCAACACCAGCTGACACATGTGGTCGATTTTGCGCATCTGATGAGTTGACAATTTTTGTTATCATTGGATCAGTTTGTAACGTCAAGTTGTTGGCATATGTTGTGCTGCCGCTCTTGTGCTAACCGAGCCAAAGAAACATCTGTTATATAAGTAGCACACAAATACTAAAGAGTGACACTACAGGTATTCTACAATTATTTTTGTTCGCAATTCTTCTAAAATTCTTCATAATCAGTTAAAGTTTGATGTTTCCAACTCCCTTGGATATAGTTACATTTTTGTATATCCTGTCACTGAGAAGCAGCTGCCATAACTGTAGTGAAATATTTACCACAGGCGTAATTCTGCTCCTTTCTGTTTCTCAGTTGGTCGAAATTGCTCATCTGGTAATTACTGGGCTCAGAATAGAGAGGATCTGCTGGCGAAGCCATGGCTCCCAGACCATCATCGGGAGAACTATGGGGGATGCACTTGATGCCCCCCAGCATTCTAGTGGACTGCCTTCTGCCAAATGGCATGATTCTCACGTTGGAGTGCCTCCGGGAGGCCACACTTACTACAGTCAAGCATGAGCTTTTCAAAGAGGCCAGGAAGTACCCTCTCTACCATCTGCTGCAGGAGGAGAGCTCCTACATCTTTGTTAGTGTCACCCAGGAAGCAGAGCGGGAGGAGTTTTATGATGAGACCAGGAGGTTATGTGATCTTAGGCTTTTCCAGGCCTTCCTCAAGGTTATTGAGCCAGTAGGCAACAGAGAAGAGAAGATTCTCAACAGAGAGATAGGTACAGTTCCTGAGTTACTATGCAGTTAAAAACAGCCCGTATTTATTTGGTTATACTGTGTGTTATATACACTGTATTGTGTTGTCGTTGGCTCTCCTTTTTAATACATAATAACAAAACGCAATTGCTTTTTTTCCCTTTCAGGTTTTGCTATTGGTATGCCTATATGTGAGTTTGATTTGGTGAAAGACCCTGAGGTGCAGGACTTCAGAAGGAACATTTTAAACGTTTGCAAAGAAGCCGTGGACCTCAGAGACAGCAACGGACCCCACAGCAGAGCATTGTACGTCTACCCTCCCAATGTTGAATCCTCAGCAGAGCTTCCCAGGCACATCTATAGCAAGCTAGACAAAGGTGAGGCATTTTACTCCGAGGTGGGCAGCACCCCTCACTGTGCTGGAACTGTTTTGCCAATGCTTTTGCCCTCCGTTTCATCTGTTACTTTATTTCCCTCAGGTCAAATCATTGTGGTCATTTGGGTCATTGTTTCGCCCACCAATGACAAACAGAAGTACACCCTGAAGATCAATCATGATTATGTACCAGAGCAAGTGATTGCAGAAGCCATTCGGAAGAAGACGCGCAGCATGCTGCTCTCCCAGGAGCAGTTAAAGATGTGTGTGCAGGAGTATCAGGGAAAGTACATCCTCAAAGTCTGCGGCTGTGATGAGTACTTACTGGAGAAATACCCTCTGAGTCAGTACAAGGTAATCTAATTAAATCTTAGCTTAGCTGCAGCTGATTCTATTGTACTTAGAGGGGGAGAGACAGATCCACCTCGCATCAAATTATCATCCAACACAAATGTGTTCGACACTTAGGGCATGAAATTAAATTTCTGAGGAAATGTTCGGCCAGTCAAGTGTGCACGTTCGAGAAAAGCCCCACACACATCACACAAGTACAAAGTGCTGAGTGCGTCAGTTATTGCTGAGCTGCAATTATAAATTCTTGGAATTTACATTTTGATAGGCCCAGATGTGTACGAATGGCTTCAAAATGTCAAAATGACACGAGCGGCATCAAAATGTCACAATCGCATCTACTTCAAAATGTCACTTTTATCTGTCCTCAACAGTATGTGCGCAGCTGTATCATGCTGGGAAGAATGCCTAACCTGATGCTAATGTCAAAAGACAGCCTGTATTCCCAACTGCCCATGGATTTCTTCACCATGCCGTCATATGCAAGGCGAATATCTACAGCAACACCCTACATGAATGGGGAAACAGCCACCAAGAATCTGTGGACTATCAACGGAACGCTAAGGATTAAGATACTGTGCGCCACTTATGTCAATGTCAACATCAGAGACATTGACAAGGTACAACTGCAGTACATTGTTGTCATCTTGTTTTTCTTTAAAGCTCATCTGGCTTGTTTCTCATTTGAGTAAAATTTATTCTGACTGTAATATTCCATCTCAGTAGCTTGGAGATTATTAAAAGATGTTGCACTGCGTCTAGCCGTCTCTCTCAGTCAGAAATGTGCTGAAAGAAATCGTTATCGCTTAGATTACTTTATAAATCTTTTGATTTGTTGCTGATCTAGATCTACGTCAGGACTGGGATATACCATGGTGGAGAGCAGCTGTGCGACAATGTCAACACACTACGTGTGCCGTGCTCAAACCCCAGGTTGTGCATAATCAAAGTGTTTTGTACTCTAAGATTTTACTGAGCTTTGTGGCACTAATGTGACTGATTCATATCTGTGGTTATGTTCCTGTTTGTGGCAGGTGGAACGAGTGGCTGACTTACGACATGTACATTCCAGAAGTCCCCAGAGCTGCCCGACTCTGCCTCTCCATTTGCTCTGTCAAAGGACGGAAGGGAGCTAAAGAGGTTAGCACTGAAATGTCAGCATTTTATATTAAAATCTTCAAGGTATTGTCGTAAAATTCGCATATTTTCTTTTTAAAAAATCCCGAAATTGAATCAGTCACGGCACAGTAAGTGAAGTTGGCCCTTATAATGGTCCAGTAGCCAAAGATGGTTGTTGACAGTAAGGCATTGTTAGAAATTAATCTTTCATCAACTGCTTCTAGGACCTGTGTTCGCCAGTCAGCCAACTGGAATGCAACTACAACTCATGCCCCGATCTACTCGACACGGGCACTTGTTAAAAAACACAAACCGAATTGATGGAAGTAAAATGTGCCAAAAACAATGTTTGGGATGCCAACCAAGAAAAAAATGTAGCTGATCTTTTAAAATGACATGCTCTTTAACTATGATCGTGTCTGTGCCAAGGAGGGTGTAGCAGAGAAAGAAACAGCGTCGATGTTGCGTTGGTGTGTCATAGCCTGTGATTCAGTAGGCATTGTCAATCACGCAATCATGCATCGAACTCGACTGGTTTATTCTATCCGTGTCTCATCGTGTGACTTACAAGGGTTGAAAAACAGCCTCAAAAATGGTCTTTGCTCCTCTTGAATCAAACCTTTAATATGGAGAGTGAATAACAGCCTAATATAAACCAATCAGTGCCTCAGATGTTATCGAAACTGTTCTCAAAATGATTCTCAGCACCTCCACTGAATTTGGTGCAACAGAAATGATGAAGCACATTAATCTTAGCTATTGTGTTTTTCTCGTACCATCTCATTAGCCACAGAGTGGTTGTTTTGTTTAGTTTTCCCCCTCCGGGGTGAAAGAGGCCACGATTTAACACCTTGTTGATTTTGGCCAACAAGTGTGTTTTAATATTACAGCAAGCACTCGTGGAGAAATTATTCTGTCAGAAATGTATCAAAAGCACAAGTGGTGTATCTGCCCGACAGCCAAACAAACTAGCATGGTTTTAATTAAGAAGTCAATCAGTAATTGGCCCTTTTCCCAGCAGACCAGCAGCAGATGCGATTAAGTTTCATGGTGCGCGTGGTTTAAATGGATTTCCATACAGGAGCAGGGCAGGAGTTGGAGCTGTGCAGTCTGCCTGCTGCAGCTCTTTTTTTCTCTTCTTGTGGTTTTTTGTTAAAAACCATGTTTCTATTAACAGTTATGATCAGCCAAACCAATGATGCACATGTACTTTGGACATTTTATTATCGTCTTACCTGTTCTTACTTTATTATCACCAACTTCCCTGTTTGTTTTTATTCCACTGCACCTGTCTGCTCCGTATCCACCAGCTGTTGCCTTGCTGATGATTTTCACATGGATCCTTTTTACTCGTTTCCTGTAGGAACACTGTCCCCTCGCCTGGGGCAACATTAACCTGTTTGACTACACCCACACACTAGTAGCAGGGAAGATGGCTCTCAACCTGTGGCCTGTCCCACATGGCCTGGAAGACCTGCTCAACCCTATCGGTGTCACGGGCTCCAACCCTAACAAGGCAAGTGGCAAAACTTTCTTTGTTGTTTGCACTTCCAGTGTTTCTCTGTTCTGTATATACAAACATGTTGATAATAGTAGCATTGTATCTTTAATTTGCATAAACCCGAATGGATCAGGATGCAGTTTATAAACACTTGAGTTTTTGCCAGCATCTGAAGCTTTTCACATACACGCATTATGCATAATAATAACTTTTAAGCCTCGTGACCCAGTTATAGCAAAGCTGGCGACACCTTGTACAGTTTCAGTAATGCAGCAGCTGCTGCTTAAGCTGCTCGATTTAAGCAACCAAGCTCCTTATCCCAATTAATTAATTACTCATTGACACGGGCGCCTTAATTTGATTACAATAAACACCTTGAATGACCTTTTCCCCTCTTTACCGTTTTCTAAACATACAGGAAACCCCATGTCTGGAGCTGGAGTTTGACCATTACAGCTCCGCTGTCAAGTTTCCTGATATGTCTACCATTGAGGATCATGCAAACTGGAACATATCCAGAGAGCTTGGCTTTAATTACTGCCACACTGGTTTGGTAAGAGTAAACACGTGTTTGTTGGTTTCTGTTTTGCTTTGCTGGTCAGATACATGAACACATTATCTGACGTGATTTTCATTGAAGAGCTGCCACATCATAGTTCATGTGCACTCCACACAGAAAGTATGGGGGCCTATAAGGTTTATTTTTCTGTTAAATATATACACAGTTAGACATGGGCATTTCTAATAATAAGGTCATTTTCTTCGCCTCTTGGCTCTGTGATGTGATTGAGAGAGGATATCCCTAATAATGTCATCTCAGGGACTCAATCAGGTGCAGCCAATCAGAAGAAAGGTTTTCCTTAAAGGGAGAGGAGCTGAAACGGATCGTTTTAGACAAAGGATGAACCGATGGGCCTCACCAAGGCTCAGTACAAGATAGACTTAGACTATTTTGAACTGTGAATCATGCAGAGTCACTATAGCAAATGTGGAGCTGGAAATGAGAATAATCATCCCGCTGTTATATGACAAGTGGCTCTAGAACCGACTCTGACCTCCTTGGTTTGTTTTGCTAAACTGTGTTATTTTGGTGTCATAGAGTAACAGACTGGCACGGGACAACCCCCTGACTGACGGCGACAATGAGCAGCTACGGCAAGTGTGTAACAGAGACCCGCTTTCTGAAATCACTGAGCAGGAGAAGGACTTCCTGTGGAGACACAGGTAATGATGTGTGCTGGTATGCTTTTATAAAGGGCTTTTGAGCTAGTACCCACTCGGGGCGACTCGTCTTTACTCTGCTTCAGTCTTTTTCCATTACAATTGAATAGCACCTAATGTGCCGACATCATTTGTATGCAACACAACAATGGAGGATGTAGAGGAGAGGGTACACCTGAAGCTCAGTGTATGGCTTTTTCTCAGACTGGGGTAGCACGATTTTGTTTTTTGTGCAGCCGTTGCCGGCTCTCACGACGCCACTGTCCAGTCTAATCAGTGGCATGCAGCCTGTTGATGTCACGTTTTCAGATTGACTCAGTTCGCTTGGATCCCTGGAAGAGTAGGCAATACAATACACCACCAGTACCACCTAATGGAAAACTCTAATGACAAAATGAGCAGTAGGACGAGTAGCTGCTAGATTTGTACACAGAAGTCTTTAATGCTGATGGTGGAAAAAGTTATAACTTATTTGTTTTGTCACCAATTTTATTTTAGACATGACTGCATCAATATGCCAGAGATCCTTCCCAAGATCCTCCTGGCTGTGAAGTGGAACTCCAGAGATGAGGTTGCACAGGTGAGTGCGGGGTTTCTACAGCTCATACACCTTGATATCACTTTTTAACAGTGATTGAATATGCTTACTCAAGTTCTCGACCTGTTTTTGCACATGAGCCACAGCATGACTTTTCTAGACCCAGCAGGGCTTGATGCGAGAACCTAAATGTCATACTCAGATGGATTGAACTCGAGCAGTCTTCACCCTGCCAGCTCCCTAGTACAAAGTCTGTGTGATGTCAGATTGAGCCAGTGTGAGAATAGAGCAGGCAGGCTGGAGATTTCACGGGGAGTGAGTGAGTGTAATGTGTCCTGCCTCCTTCAGCAGCTACCTAGGGAACACTACACACCTAAATCTATAGGAGAACTTTGCAGTGGTGAGAATACAACTCTGACACAGAGAATCTGTTGTCTGCAACATGTATGAAGGGGCAACTTCTCATAGTCCTTATACAGCTGTGTATTACAGGGTTGTTCAAAATCTGTGTTCTGTATTTAGCTGCCTTTTCTCATTTCAGATGTATTGCCTTCTAAAGGACTGGCCTGCTATCAAACCAGAACAAGCCATGGAGTTGTTGGATTGCAACTTCCCCGATCCTATGGTCAGAGAGTTTGCTGTGAAGTGCCTTGAGAAATACCTAACTGATGACAAACTCTCCCAGTATCTCATTCAGCTGGTTCAGGTGTGTTTAGATCAAACTAAGCCGCGGGAGCCATTTTCATTCTGCCATGTTTTGCTGATGAGTCACATGTTTTGCTTGATGGACTGAAGGTATTTTCAATATATTCTCTGTGGCCGTGTCTTAGGTTCTGAAGTACGAGCAGTACCTTGATAACCCACTCGCACGGTTCCTGCTGAAAAAGGCGTTAACCAATCAGAGGATAGGACATTTCTTCTTCTGGCATTTAAAGTGAGTTTATTTAAAAGGATTTTCTTTCAGGAAGTTGGAACTGTTTGTAAGCGAAAGGTTAAAGTCTTGTTTGAGTGTTTGGCCTCGGGTACGGATGAATTTAAAAAACATACTTTGAAGATGCCTCACATTGGTTTATGTTTTAGGATTTCCAGGGAGGCAGAGCGTATTTTCTTTGGGACAGAACCTCTTAAACTTTTTTTCTTTCCTTGTTTTTAATGCGTGAAGGTCAGAGATGCACAACAAGACAGTGAGCCAGCGGTTTGGTCTGCTTCTGGAGTCCTACTGCCGGGCCTGTGGCATGTATCTGAAGCACTTGAGCAGACAGGTGGAGGCCATGGAGAAGCTCATCAATCTCACTGACCTCCTCAAACAGGAGAAAAAAGATGAGGCTCAGAAGGTAGTCTGACAGCTGGCAGCTGTTTTGAATGTGATCCACTGAATCGTTTGGTTTAATCTTGACAACATCTGGACCGGCCTGGCCGCAGGGACACCACATTAGAGTGCAGTGATAGAATTTGGAGCTTTGCTTTTTCTCTCCTTTTTTCCCTCTTAATTGCTTGTAGTAAAATATTCAGCCACACTGGCATAAAATATTTCATCTTTTTAAAAAGCTTTTTGTAATCACTCATTCAGTGTATTTTTTGTTATCATTATTATTATTATTATTATTATTATTATTATTTTGCTTTTGGGTCTTTATGACATCAGTGAGAGTGAAAAACCTCAATCATCTCAGAAACATAGATAACAGAAGCCCCACCCACCTGCTGTTCCAATTTTCTGTTTGTGAGGGGTAGCCAATCAGAAGAAGGGATGCTGGACTTAATCAGCAACCTCCTCGTTTAAGACAGAGGATGACCCGAGGGACTCCACAAAGGCTCAGCATGAAATAAACAAGGATTATTTTAAACTGTGACTCATGCAGAGCAAACCCAGAACAGTCAAATGAAAATATTTCATTGAAATGAGAACAATGGGTCTCTTATCCTTATAGTACTAGTTCCAGTTAAATATGGAACTTAAGGTTAGTAGTCGTTAGTAGTTAGTGAACTTAATATGTAGCTACAGGCTATAAAAATGTTTTGCTACTAGTTGCTATGCCAGTCACAGGGGTTAGCTTGGATGGCTTGGTCATGTATTAAACCAGTGTGAAATGCCCAGTGCCCATCCAATCTAAATCTACCTGGTGCTTCTTAGATGGTTCAGCATGGCCACCAGAGGGTGTATGTCATTGCCTGAAAGCCCTCAGTGAAGGAGCATTACCTCATTGTGAGAGATTTTGCTGAAGAGAAGCAGCAGAAAGTTGACTGTGATTGCTGCATATGAACTTAGGCCAGCCCGTTTATCCAGTTGCTCAGCACCTGAGGAAACTAACTGTCACATTTGTTTAATCCCCCCTAAGGTTCAAATGAAGTTTCTGGTGGAGCAGATGAAAAGACCTGACTACATGGATGCACTGCAAAGCTTCACCTCTCCGCTGAATCCGGCACATCAGCTGGGAAACCTCCGGTACTTCAGCACTCTTATCTAACGCAGTCCGCTCAAATGGTTGGCATTTGATTTTTATTCCCCCTGCAGGTGATGCTTTCGCCCTCTCCTCTCCGAGGCTTGAAGTATTACCAGATGTAATAAGAGCTGAACAGTTTGGTTCATATCAAGCACATTAGGACCATTATGAACTGAATGCTTGTACAGCTCTGTTGCTGTGATGAACACAACCACAATTACAGAGGGCTTTCCTCCTTTCCTTTTATATACATGTATGTGTATTTTTCCTGCTAAAACATATCCATGTCTTTACTTTAGCCTGGAGGAATGCAGGATGATGTCGTCAGCAAAGAGACCTCTGTGGCTTAACTGGGAAAACCCAGATATGATGTCGGAGCTGCTCTTTCAGAACAATGAAATCATCTTCAAAAATGGAGATGGTGAGTTGTGCCTCTACCTCCGCCTGTCTGTCCTCTCCTCAGCGCTGACATTCTCAGCACACACACACACACACACAGACCTGCCGAGCATGCGCACAGTTCAGCCTGCGCTGCGTCGTTTCATGCTACATAAATACAACTATAACTGCGCTCTTAACGCAGAACTCAGAAGGAGCAGTGCTCGTATTTGACCCCCGCTTCACGGCAGCAGGTTGTGCTTTTTTGCTGCAGCGTCTGTGACCAACATGACTTTGAAAGCTCTGCTCCATAATGCATCATGGAGTTGATCAAAGCAGCTCAGCAGCTCATATTCACCTCACCGTTATCCACCTCCTTGTCTCTTTTTGCCTCTGCAGATCTGAGGCAGGACATGCTGACGCTACAGATCATTAGGATAATGGAGAACATCTGGCAGAACCAAGGCCTTGATCTCAGGTAGGCTCCTCACTTCGTCATGACAGCAGGGATGCAGGTACCCATTAACAGGCACCGGACCTTTCATGTTCTGCGAGCCATACTTGAATGCAGATTAGCAGGCAGACCCTGCCAGCCACCTCACGTCATTTAATATAAAGTCCATCAGTGCTGTCTTGATATATATATATTTTTTTCTTTATTTATTCTTGCCTCTCTTGTTTTCTACGCTTCCTCTTCCAGGATGCTGCCCTATGGCTGTTTGTCTATCGGCGACTGCGTGGGTTTGATCGAGGTGGTGAGGAACTCTCACACTATCATGCAGATCCAGTGTAAAGGAGGCCTAAAGGGGGCGCTGCAGTTCAACAGCCACACTCTACATCAGTGGCTCAAGGATAAGAACAAGGGAGAGATGTGAGCTCAGTAGAGATGTTAATTAATGTTAATTATTAATGCCAAGCCTTTTTTTTCTATTTCTACTTCCTTTGTGACGACATCTGCATAAATTTCCTAGACTGCCTCAAATGATTTTGCTTTTTTTATTTTATTTTATTTTTTTGCCGTCTCAGGTACGACCAGGCCATCGATCTGTTCACACGGTCGTGCGCAGGCTACTGTGTAGCTACATTTATCCTGGGCATAGGAGATAGGCACAACAGCAACATCATGGTTAAAGATGATGGGCAGGTAATGATTACAGCCGCTTCTCTTTCTGAGTTAAACGTCATCTCTATACTTTAGATTTTTTGGTTTATCCTTTATAATTTAATGCGTCATATTTTCTGTGTTCTCAGCTGTTCCACATAGACTTTGGTCACTTCCTTGACCACAAAAAGAAGAAGTTTGGGTACAAGAGGGAGCGCGTCCCCTTTGTGCTCACACAGGACTTTTTGATTGTTATTAGCAAAGGAACGCAAGAGTGCACCAAAACGAGGGAGTTTGAAAGGTAATGCTTCACCCACAGCGACGCTGAAAGGGTGGATGAGGTGCTTTTTGAGTCGTCTTTTTAAACTTTTTTGTTACAACAAATGACTCAGCAAAGCAACTAGTCTGTGTAAAAATAAAAATCTGAAGGTGTTAGGAGAGAAACGGAAGAAGTAAATAAATATAAATCAAATGGTAGGCACCACAGGCTTGTAGCAAAGACAAAAGATCAGACAGTCAAGCCGTGACAGATGTGGCCGCTAGTGATCTTATTGTAAACACACACCAAAGGTTTTCTGTCACTGATGAGATCTGAGAGCAACAAAGTGACTGAAGAGTTTGTGAAACAAAGATCCGGAGCCCAGATTCTCATAAACTGTTTCCTGGCGGAATGACGCAAGCTGCTCAAATGTTCCATAGAAATTCTGGATCAGGTTTGTCATTTATCCAAGACATGGAAATGTTTTTCCTTGCAGCGTATGCAAGGATGTAGTCTAATGAAGCTGATGTCCGCAATATTGTTCCAAATTGGATGTCCTGAAAGAGATAAGGGGTCCATGTTCAAAGACTCTCCCAGTATCTTTTGCACCTCCTGCAAAAATGTCTAGGGAATGAATTTTTGGACACAGCCAATCACAGTGTGAATAGGTTCTAATTGAGGTCTTGCACTTCAAATGTAAGAAAGTCGATGATTCTTCTGTTGTCTTTGACTGCACACAGTGCCAGATTTAAAATAGCAGCAGTCTCTGGTGGGTAACTGGGGTGGGTAACAGAACTTGACCCTGCTCGTTTTGCGTCCCTCTTCAGATTCCAGGAGATGTGCTACAAAGCGTACCTGGCAATCCGGCAGCACGCCAACCTCTTCATCAACCTCTTCTCCATGATGCTGGGCTCGGGAATGCCTGAGCTGCAGTCGTTCGACGACATCGCTTACATCAGGAAGACCCTGGCCCTGGACAAGTCGGAGCAGGAGGCCCTGGACTACTTCATGAAGCAGATGAACGACGCTCACCACGGCGGCTGGACTACCAAGATGGACTGGATCTTCCACACGATTCGCCAGCATGCCATGAACTGAGGAAAGAATGGTGGCAGCAGCAGGACACGAAGAACCACAAGAACAAAAAAAAATAAGCAAGTTGTTTCCCCTAACACACTAAGGCCTGGTGAATATTTCTGCCAGTGCTTGACTCTGAAACTTTGCCTGCCAGCGAGACTCAAAACGAGCACGCTCAGAAGAAATGCCTAAATGCTCCTTTTCCTTACAGACGTCTGAAATTTCTCTCCCTGCATTATGAACTTAAGAAGGTGGAGTTAAATTTCACCTGTTGTCTTCATAGGAGCTAAGCTAGCGTGGACCTGGACAGTATTGGCCTTTATGTGAACCAAGTATAGACAGGTTACATTTTATCTTTTTATTTTCAAAGCTTCTACAACCATCAACATTAAGAGAGGAACTTCATGAAGTGATACACGATGAGCACAGCTAGCTTTTTATAAAGAGAGATTGAAACCGAATTATTTCAACTACCTATTTTTGAACTGATGAAGGCGGGGCCAGGTGAAAATGGGGCTGTTGTTGCAGCCGGGCAGCTCACCTGCCAGGTACTCTCAGAATTTTCCAATAAGATTATATAAACACTGAACAAACCTCAAAGTTTTTTGGGAAAACCTCAACTAAGCATTTAACACTATTTGAAGAAATTGCAATGATGACCTATTTGTAACCTACCCGTGTACAAATCATGTCCCGTCATATAAGTGACTTTTTGTACAGCAGTATATCCATATACTTGTATGCATTTGGTGCACATATTCCTTTTTGAATCTATTCTCTACTGAGCCAAAGTACTACATGCATAACTCCACTAGTCAGCAGTCTTATTGTTAAAAACAAACAAACCCCCCTAAATAATCACTACTATTCCAAGTCTTGTGTGTACTCTTAGCACTGATGTCTGCAGTATTTGTTTTTTCTTGTCTGTCAGTATTAGTTTGTGTCACATGTAGAGGCACAAACGTGTCATCTATTCAGTGCACATGGACCCGAGAAAACCTTTCTGATGACCAGCTGGTTAGGGTTCGTCTTTCCTTTTCTTTTCTTTTTTGGATGCACCGAAATATGAATTTGGCCAAAAGCGTTTTTTGGTTTTTTTTCCCCCTTTTTGTTTGTTTTTGTATTGCGCTAGTTTGTTTCAGGAAAACAAAGTTTTTGCTCAATACGTTAGTTAGAAAAAACATTTTTTAAGGTCATCCTCATCACAGAGTCTCGGAACATTTAGCCAGCACCAGATTCATGTTGGACGACACTGACAGGTCGATAAACGTCAGGCTCGATAACTCGATATCAGCAGATCCCTGTTTTTTCCTGTTTGGTGGTTTTATTGTCGTTTAGCTAACACGGGCGGGAAACAAAGGATGTGCGGTGTTCATTTCGTGTGCTGTGCAGTTACTCTATGCAAGTCATAATACTATAACATGTACTGTATACTGATGTCGGGCACAGAGGGAAGCGCATCTTCCCCCTGGCGTGCTCGCACAGAGAACCGTCGGTGGACTTTGTATAGAAAGTGCATGGAAGAAGGAAAAAACCCCAAAAAACTCACTAAGTTGCCGTGTAACAGTATCGTCTACTTCCCAGCAGAAAGAGCTGTGCAAAACACCTCTGCACCCTGCCTTTTACTTGTCCTACAGAAACTTTGGAGCTTCGGTCTAAGCCATGTGTTTAAAAAAATAAAACAAAAAACAGAACTTTTTTGCTCTCAATCACAGAGAGCAAAGAAAGAAAAGTATCCGAAGTTATATTTTTGAAACCTTCCAAGTGTCTTCTTCCATACCTGTGATTGTTGCCCTGTGCGTGGAAGCGTGGCCGGCGTTATCGCTGCACAGACTCTCGTACGCGTCCATAAGTGTTGTAGCTTTACTAAAGTGATGCCTAACAGGGCGGTTTCCTGGAAACGTTAAGTCTGTTAAAGTAAGCGAAGTTTGAGCGAGGACTTAAAACTGCTCAGGAAACTGTCGACTGACATGCACGCGCTTCTGTACGGGATACAGAGCAGTGGGCCGGACCCGAACTGACAGAACTAACCCTCACATATACTTTATAGAAGCCCTATCTAAACCACGCTCTCTCCCTTTGTACTTGTTTTGTTTCTCACACTGCATTATGCATGACTATCTACCTTTTTTTTTTTTTCTTCTTCGACCTGATGTTGTCTACTTGAATTTCATGTATAGAAATGACCTTGTTACTTGTTTAAGGTACAACAAAGTCACAGTGAAGTTAACAGATACTGATACGTGTGCAAATGCTTTCCTTGAATAACTACAGAGGTAATATATTTTTGTATTTTTTAAATGTAAGCAATCTCATGAGTAACGGCTAACCAGGAAAAAGGCAAAAAAAAAGTTAAAAAAAAAGGAGGAGTCACGTGTAACATTCACCATCCTCACGCAAAATCCAGCAAACAGCCTCTTGTCATCGAAAAGGATGTGACTGAAGGACGAGGACTTGGTGCTGCAGTTGGAGTACCATCCTCACATCAAGTGGAGGGAATTTTTGCCCCAAGTGGAAGTCTCTAAGCACAACGCGTACAAAGAAACTACCCTGCATGTTTTAAAATGATCCAGACCCATGCTAGTTATCTTTCCACCTGTATATGTCAGGAAAAAAACACCTCAAATACTTCTTTTTAGTCATCCTCATATCACCATGTCTGTATGCATTCATTTATTGTGCTGTTGAATAAAAACATTTCTCCTCGTGAATAAGTCTGTCGGTTTATTTTACTCGTTTAAAAATTTAGGTCATTTACAAGCCACTTTTTCATTTCCATGCTTACAAAAAAACAACTCCAGAATAATATTTACACAGTGAGCCAAAGCCATGAAGAGAAGCATTATAAAGGTTTCCATAGAAAAATACAAAAAAAGACTTATTAGAAGGGTCTGTGCAATATGGCACACTTGTGAAATGACTCCCATTAACATTATCTAACATTAAATGATTATGGGAAGAGTAATTGATACTACTGTGCAAAAGTCTTGAGTCATTCCTCATGTTTTTATATGTTGCTCAGAATTGAGAAATGAGTGCATACATTTATTGAAAAGTAAAAACATGGAAACTGTATACAAGGTGAAGGTTGGCAGTGAGTACTTTATATGACTACCTTTATTCTTCATCACAGCCTGAACCCTTTTGGGCAGTTTTCTTGTCATGTTGTTAAGTATATGGCCTGTATTTGTATAGCGCTTTACTTAGCCTTACCCTAAGGGACCCCGAAGCGCTTTACACGTTCAGTCATCCACCCATTCACACACTGGTGACGGCAAGCTACATTGCCCGGGGCGCACTGATAGCGGCGAGGCTGCCGGGCCCTCTGACCACCACCAGTGGGCAACGGGTGAAGTGTCTTGCCCAAGGACACAACGACCGAGACTGTCCAAGCCGGGGCTCGAACCGGTACCCTTCCGATTACAAGACGAACTGCCAACTTTTGAGCCACGATCGCGTAGTCCTCAGGAATAGTTCTCTAGGCTTCTTGAAGGACATTCAAAGCGTATCTTTGGATGTTTACTGTTTTTTGTGAGGTCCAGGATCTAGGGAGCGATAATGTTGCATTCTGCATTTTTCTATCCCGGTATACTTTCACTGCATTGGCAGTGTGTTCGGGATCATTCATGCTGATCTGTTCTACAAATTTTGTTAAGATCACCAACACCAAAATGTCAGTTGCCACTGATTTTAAGTCCAGTCCACTCATTAAGAGAGGCATCTTAACACCCACCCTTCCACTTAGGTCGTTTCTTATTAGGCTTCAGTGAACAGTAGTGCCAGATGTATCTTTAGGTCCTGTGTCAGGTCTTTTCTGGATATTATCTCTTACAGACATGACTTTCAGATACAGTTCATCTGCTATAGATGGTTTTTTAAGGGCACACTGCACACCATGCTGAGTTAGGTCATGTTTTCTGCTACTGGCGCTTTGGGAATCACCTTGTTGGTGTAAAAATACTAGATGTTTGTCTCTGTTATTTTATACATCTTTCATACAATTTTTCATCTAAGCAAATGGGTACAAGTTAACAAAGTGCCTAAAGATACAATTTAAAATGGTCTTTGTCAAGTTGTCTGTTGCATGTAGACACAACACTGGTTCATCCGTTGAGTTAGTTGCTTTTTTATGCTTGACTGATTTATAGGCCAGTGTTAAGTGGCTTAAAAACAAACACCAAACAAAGAAGAAATCCTCTGGACATGTTCAGTTATTCAAGGATTGCACTGAAAATGAATGAAGAACAACGAGTGTCCAAAAAGAGATACTGTGAAAAAGCTTCAAAAAACCTGTAGATCTATCTCTCAAAAGCACTTTAAAAATAACAAGAGAGTCTGGATCCTTTGAAGTGAAACATAAAGACACAGGAAGTGCATTGAGAGTTTTACACAAAACTCCAGGATGAGAATTATTTTTACCCATGAATCATGCAAAGACATTCAAGCAGAGTCTGTTATTATTCTAAATATATTGTGTCCAGTACTCCCTCGCATATTATCATTGGACCAATAGAAACTCTCATCCAACTGTGACACATAACATCAATCTGTCACGAATTTCCTCACTTCTCTCAGGGTGCAAATAATCATCCCTCATAAACTGACTTATTAGCCAGCTTGCTATCTGGAAAACATTAAAAAGTATTAGTCAGTGACCCAGAGCCCAGGCTAGATAAATCAGTGTTTGGATTATCAGGAGAGCATTGGAATGCTTCTCTCCTGTAAGTCATCCCTGGCCCGAGAAAGTTGGAGCGCTACCTGCTCGACACTTAACAAATATTGAATATATGCCTAATTAAACATGAGAGGTACTAATTGGTGCTGACTGAGTGTGAAACATCATGAATGGTGTGGCTGGTCAAGCAGACTTTGTTTCTTTCTGCCAACATTTGGACATCAGTGTCTATTTAATAACAGAGGAAGGCACTTTTTAATAAGGAGGCAAAAACTGTATAGATTTTCAATTCTCACACTTCAGACCAACATTTTACTTTGACTAACCTTTTACAAATCAACACTAGATAACTTTATGTACCAGTTAAAAGGCTTACAAAAATGGCATTTTTTGGCATATTACAACTTAAGCTCTGGACATGTCATGAGGGAGATTGTGCGCTGGACCTACGGAGCAGCCTGTACAGTTTGCCCTGAGTGTATCTTGAAGTCAGCCGGCCCCCTGCAGCTTCACTGATCACCTCTGTGGACAGATGGGCTAGACACTGAGTCAGTTTCACAAGGCCCACCAGCAGAGCTCCACCGCCCAGAAGTATACAGGGCCACAGCAGTGCAAATAGGACCATCTGCAAAGTGTACTTCCTGCGTAAGATGGCGTGGTTGGGGTACCTCGTCTGATCAGTTAAACATGCGGTGTTGTTCCCAAGCAGACTGTCCAGGCTGCCGTTCACTTTCTGGACTTGATCCTGAAGTGCTTTTCTGTCCATTTGGCATTTGGGCATGTAGAAACACTGAGAGAGAAAAAGATAAGATTCAAGTGTAATTTTTTATCAAGTGACCTACCCCTTACAGTTGGCAGGACTGATTGCAATCAGTGCGACGAGCTGCAAGGGTCTTTTTTTTTTGGTGTCTGTTAAAAAAAGCAAAGGGAATTTACAAGCCTCCGTTTTCTGCACCAGTGCCGAAAAATACTTCATAGCATCTCTCTGAATGGAGCAGAAGTGCAGTGTGAGAGCATCTCCTAATAATATCTACTGGCTTATTCACAAGGGCACAGGCATTAAAAGTGTTGCTGCTTTTCCATCCTGTCAGCTACTTCAGCCTTCATCGCTTTCTCACATGCATTCCCAGGTCCATGCTTAGATGGATAATAAAACACCTGAGAATTAAAATTAAGAATTACTAAACAAAGTAATCTT